AACCAAATTGTTACTTTTTAGATTATAGTTTTTTTGAGTCAATTAGCTAGTAAACAATGAAAAGTTGTATAATTAGGTAAATGACAACGAGAAGTTGAAAACTCGGAATCACTGTAGCATAAACTGATGAAATGGACGATTTTATCCTTTAAATGCAGAAACAAATATAATAGGGAGACGTGTAAATCTTTTAGCATGTGCCAACATATTTTGTAGGCTACTGTTCTGAACTAGCTTAGTTGTTGGAGCATTTTAAATCACACGATAATGTGTCAGATGACGGACATTAATTACAAAGATGCTAAAAAAAATTTCATCATTACTTACAACGTTAACTATATGTAACTTATATAGATATAACACATATGTTGTTGTCTGTATAAANGTCAACTATTTAATGTAACCGCCTCTTCAAAAAATTATCTAGCTACCTCATAACTTTTCATGGTTTATAAGTTGATTGGGCGGCCAATTTTTGAGTTAGTAGGTAAGTGCAAAGATACACAAACATATTACAACTTAGACGCTATATTTACAGATAACACAAGTTTAACCAATTCAATTACTTTTGAAATTGTAAAGAAGTTATTCTTGAACGGCTATCAGTTCCATATGTGCATATAACCCTATGTTCCTTCATCGATCATGATTGATATGTTTCCCAAGGGTTATATATTGACGGTAATGGAAGAGATTTTCAATATCACAACATAAACAATCGTAGAGTTTACTTGGTCATGCAAATTTGGTGTATGTATTACTTATCGAATAAATATATTAACCGGCTACTCTTTATGTTATCTAAATAATTTATATAGTATCCACCAATTTTATATAGTTAACGACTTTATTAATATGATATCTAGTCAATAACATACATTCCCGGATATAATGAGGTAAAACATCCCACTTATTAAAAGTCTTTCAACTACTCAAGCAGCTTGCCAAACTTTGCAGATTAATCTTCTTGTTGCCTAACCCCAACTCCGAAGGGATGAGCTTCCCTTGCCCATTGTAGTGTTCTTTTGTACCATTGAGTAGTCTTCAACAAGACTATTAGGGATGGTTGTCTGCTTCTTGCCTATGTTGCATGTCACTTTGTAGCTGTCTTGCACACCAGAATAATTTGGAGATGACTAGCTAGCTTGTTACACTAAAACCAAGTTAACAACTTACGATGATAAATTAAAAATCAGTGCTACCTAGCTTCTTACTCTTATCGCAAAAATTTCCTCCACCAACATCTTCAAAAAAAAAAAGCCTTTAATAACTAATTTAGCGACATGGATATATAGTATCGGTTATTCAAACAATTATCTGCTAAATTTCATTGTATCCATTAAACATATAATATCTGACCAAGTTAGTTATTATCATAATAACATTATTTACCTCTCAAGCTTCGTGCAAGTCTCTGCCATAGCCATGGCTCATACTTATCTTTTTTCTCTCCAGCCTCGCTGTTTCCCTCTTCTCCATCTGGCTCAGATGATGAGGTCTATGAGTTAACCCTAATCCCAACTNGTTCTCGNCGGCGGCAAACATNNGCGTNNGCAACTACGGCTTGTCTTCCATATCCTCAACCCTTTCTATGACAAATATGTTAGATCTATAACATGAATTTAACTAGAAATAAATTTAGGAAAAATTTCTGCATATATATAATCGGTACTTACTATACTTATAAGTCGATTCGACTGCTTCTCTCCACCCACTGTCTGCAATTATGCCAGACCATCACAAAATCTTTTTCTCTTTTCTCACCATTCATCTCAAAATTCTCTTCTAATCTATGCAAAGATAAAAAAACGAAACAACCTTTATCTCTCCTAAAAAAATATATTTTTCTTTTTTATCAACCCACTTAGTCATACAACTTGGCTATATAGTGTACTTGTGTATGTATCGACCATATCTCAAATATATTTGTTATGATTTCTTTCTGACACAATGATATAAACTCTATCACCTACATACGGTAAAGCAAGACTCATATAGGGTTATAATTGGCATATTGAAAGTATAACAGTTGCGTTGTCATTTGACAAATTACCCATTTTTCCTTTGCTACCCAGTGCAAATTCTCTTTCTTTTTTGCTATTCCACAAATTCACCCTAAAAATTTTAAATATTTCACCAAAATTTTGTGTTACTCAACGTTAATTTTAAAAAGAACTTTTATATATTAATTAATTTGTTGAC